CAAGACCCCTCCCCAGCTCCCCTGCCTAGGTCTGGATCTGCTCCAGCCCCTCAAGGTCTTTGTTATCCTGTGGCACCCAAAACTGCCCCCAGTACTCAAGCTGTGGAAGAAATTGTTTACATCTTTTTTTTTTTTCTTAACTGCTGAAGCAGAGAGGTGAAGCAGATCCCATGGGTGTGATTACTGTGCTTGTTTCTCTAGGCACTGTATATGTGAAGCTTTTTGCTTTTTAAGAAGAGTTTGCCCTATACTCTGCAAGTTGCTTTACAAGTTTGCACAGGCAGGAATTCTGTGCAGCTGAGGCTGGCCATTAAAGTTGTCCAGCTTTTGGTGGGACCTTTTTTCCTACTGCCTCACATCCTGAACCTCTTCCTCAATGCCCTCCTGCAACAGATGTCCCAGATCAAACCTTGAATTTCACTCTGGGTGTGTCAGACAGAGCACCCACTGTGCTGTGCTTGAATCAGAGCAGATAACGCTTAACACAGGAAAAAAAAGAGGAGGGGAGACTAACCTGGGACGTTTCCCACCTTGTGCTTGTCCATGCAGCATGCCCACGCGCTGGAACTGCTCAAGGACCAGCTTGTGGAAGGTGGGAAAGCTCTGGATGTGGGGTCTGGCAGCGGATATCTTACGGCTTGCTTCGCCAGGATGGTGAGTCTGTGGGACCCCAGTTCCAGCCTGTGACTTTTGCAGAGAGAAGAGGAGCTGGGAGGAAGGGGTAGAACCAACTGCTTGTAGTAAAACCAACTGCAGTGATTTTTGGAATCTGAATGGATGCTGTATGTGCTGTGAGAGGGTTTTGTGTTAACCCAGCTCCCATCGAGAGGATTATGTGCCATGTAGGTTGTTTTTAGTTTGCTTCCTAAGTAGTCACAGTCTGTTTTTTAAACTGGTTATTCTCTGTGGAACGGTGGAAAGCTTCCTCTTCTGTAAGCTGCTCTTTTCAGGAGGTTAGTTAGTCAAGAACTGGCCCTGCTGCTGCAGAAGCTGCTAATTCTACCAAATAATTATCCCTTTGGAAACGAGGGATAACTGGGGATGCCTGTAGGCAGTGTCCATGTGTCCCTCAGGGAGCTGATTCACTGGGACACCCCAGCTGTAAAACCAGAGTGTTTGCCCCTCCTGAGCAGAGGTCTGCTCTTAAGCCTCTTCCTGGAAATTCCCCCATCCCCACAGTGGCTCGCCCTGTGAAACACCTCTCAGTAGGTGCAGGAGGTGTACAGCTGCCTGCTCTGTTTATTTTCAGATGGGCCCCACGGGGAAGGCCGTGGGTGTCGAGCACATCAAGGAGCTGGTCCATGAGTCCATCAGGAACGTCCAAGAGGATGACCCAAGTCTGCTCAGCTCTGGGCGTGTGAAGCTTGTGGGTGAGCCCGGGGACCCTCGGGTGCTGTGGTGGGTGGGTGGTGGGTGTGGTGGGGGCAGTCCTGCCCTGCACCTGCCTCTGAGCACGTGGTGACTGTCACAGCTCGGTGTGGGACGCTCCACAGGGGTGCAGTTGTGCAACATGTGGGTTTTAGGCTGTTTGAGTGGGTCTGCACGTGCTGTTGGGGTTGTTTGGGAGGGTTGGTTGAGTCAGCTCTTCTGTACCTGGAATCTCAAGCCTGCATGAAGCCAGTGTGTTATTGAAAGGCCTCCTGGCTTGGACTCTTCTGTCTTCTGGCATGGCTCAGTTCCAGAAATCTCTCTCCCTTTTTAGAAAGTTAAATTAAAAAAAACCCTCAAATTCCTATCACAGTCTTATGATGAAGTTTTCATCATCTAGACATCTGTCAAGAGGATACAGGAAGAATTCCATTTGCATGGAGTTGTTGACAGAAGCGTTTTGTGCACGCTTTTTCCTCCTCCTGTAGTTGGAGATGGCAGGCAGGGGTACCCCGAAGAGGCTCCTTACGATGCCATTCACGTGGGAGCAGCAGCAGCCACCGTGCCAAAGGAGGTAGGTGCCCTGCTGGGGGTGTGCCACAGGCAGCCTGTGCCAGCCCCTGACCCAGCGCTGCCGAGCCACGGGGAGCTGCTTGTCCTGGCTGCTCCCTGTGGGGCTGGCCAGCCTGTGCTTTGCCAGGGGTCCCAGCCTTCACAGCAGCTTATCCCTGCTGTGCCTCTGGCTCTGCTGATGCCGGTTCCTCTGCCCACAGCTGCTGGAGGAGCTGAAGCCGGGGGGGAGGCTGATCCTGCCCGTGGGGCCCGAAGGTGCCAACCAGGTGCTGATGCAGTACGACAAGACCAGCGACGGGCAGATCGTGGAGACGCAGCTGATGGGCGTGATCTACGTGCCCCTGACAGACAGGGAGAAGCAGTGGCCTCGGTAAAAACCTGCTCTCCACTGAGGAACGTCCCTTCCTCGCAGCTGCCCCTCTGAGCTTGCTCTCCCTGACTGCTGGCTTTACTGACAGAGTCCTGGATCCCTGGCGGATGCAGTTTGTAAGAGAGAGAAGAAAGGCTTGGCTGTGGCAGGGCACGGCAGCAGAGCAGCATGTTCTCTGCTAGATGGGGCTCGCAGACTGAGGACTCAAGCTTTTTCTTTTTGGGTTTTTTTTTTTGGAGCCTGTGCACATTCACAAGCACCGCAGCTGTGTTGATTCTGCTGCAGAGCTGAAGGCCAGGATTAGTAACCGTTGGTTTTTCTTTGCCTCAGGGATGAATTCTGACGGAAGGGACCTCAGAAAGCTCACGAATGGGACTTAGGACTGTAGACGGTTTGTATGGGTTTGGTTTTGGGGCAGAAGCTTTATCAGCAGAGGTGCTCGTGAAGGCAGGTTCTGCTTCAGCAGAGCCTGGCGTGGAGAGCCAGAGGAGGTGGCATTCCCCAGGAGCAGGGGGGCTCCCGGAGGCCGTGTGGGTCCAGGTAACTCCAGCTGCCCTCTGATGAGCTGCAGATAACAACATCTTTTCGCAGAGAATCCCAAAAGCAGACAGGAATACTCAAACCTTCACTAAAAATACTCTTAGTTACTGACTCCTCTGCCTAACGCTTGGAGAGAACAAGGTGCAGTTACTGTTCGGGAGCGGCGGCGTGCCGCGATTTGTCACCGTTTAATCACGAGCGCGCGTTCTCTGCCCGGCCTCTACCGACTCCTTTCATCTCTGCTAG